GCCCTTGGTAAAATGTCCTTGCTTCCTACAGTTAAAGCATTTGTCGTTCTTCTTGAAATCTTTCTTCTGGACATTCAGGTTCTTTAGAATATGGTTTTTCTTTTTATTAAATGGCTTTTTCTTCTTCTTAGAAGAAGAACTAGTATTCTTTTCAGAGTTAGCAGCCACCATGTTAGCAGACTCATTCTGTTTAGCAAGGAGCTCATTCTTCGTGCGAGTTTGAATCTCGTCCTCGATCCGAATGAACCTCTTCAAATCAGACGAAGTCACTTGTCTTTTTCTTCTTCTATTGTCCATAGAGAATAACATTTAAGATGAAGGAAGCTTGTTAACAATTGCACCAGAGATGAAGGTTTGACAAAGACTGATATTTTCATCCTTCAACTTCATAACAAGTTTAGAGCTCTTTGACTTGAGGTAAAATCTCAGTGTCATCTTCGAATTTGAAGTCCAGAAACTTATCAATGAGGTGAGACTTGGAAAGCTTCTACTCATCCTTGTATTGCTCCTCCAGAGCATTCCAGATTTCCTTTGCAGAGGGCTTATTGGTATAAGCATCTACCAGATGATCAACCAGACAGTTAAGGAGATAATTCCTGCAGAAATGATTATCTTTAGCCCAAGAGGCTTCAGACTCAGAGTCTTCTTCAAAGTCGGGTTTCTCCTCAGAAACCACATAGTAGATCTTCAGGAGTTGCATCCCGAAGATTACTTTCCGACGCCATGTGTTGAAATCGAATCCATCAAAGTTCTCTAACTTAAGATAATCCACTCCAAGAGTCCTCGCAAGATCCTTAGTAGTTCAGAAATATTACTTTAAGATTGTTAGAGATTATGGTTAAATCTAGAATAAAATAGTAAAAGATGATGTACTGTAATTTTAAATTTTTTTCAAGTTAATTGTTGTGCGTTTGTGAAATACCAATACAGTACTCTGGTGTGTACCAACCCAGTACTATCAAGATCTCCTCGATCTATAAGACCTTTCGGTCAAGGAAAAGATCTCCTCGATCTTAGAACCTTTCGGTTCAAAACCTTTCGGTTTCAGGGCAAGTTCCTACGGGCATAGTTTCTACAGCAGCAGCACAACAACAGCAACAACAGCAAGATCTCCTTAATCTGACGTTCGTTTTCCAAGCTCGTGTGTGTACATCTATGAGCTATCTAAGGACGCTATTTATAGGCCTCTAAGGCCAGCTCAAGAGTCACTCGCAATTAATGTGACTGTTACAATTCTCAATGGTAATTAAGATTATAACATCAATGTATTAAATTGCTCTAAATATCGTTGTAACTACTGCATGCAGTAACTCCTGAATACGAGGCAAGCAATGAACGCCTAACTACGAAACACGACGGTCACGTCTCAGCAAATCAGACGAACATCGTCTGTAGGACGAACCTCGTCGAACGGGCGAACCTCGTCGAATGGGCGAACCTCTTCGAATAAGCGAACCTTATCAAACAGGCGAACCTCGTCAAACAGGCGAACCTCGTTTAATGAGCGAACCTCATCTGATCTTGTGAATCAGACAAACCTCGACAAACCTCGTCTGATTTTGAGAATATTAGGGTCACACCCTCGTGCGAATGCGTAGCTCGTCCACATACTGCGAAGTAGCCTATGAGGCAGCCTTTGTGACGACCACAGTGGCAGCCAACGTGGCGATGACTCCGTGCGAAGTGCGCCTAACAAAGCGTCACTTAGCGGCTCAGCCCGATTAGTCTCAATCCCCGGCCCATTGGCTCACGGCCCACTATAATTTATGAGGGGTTAATTAAAATAAAACACTTCTCGGCTTGCCGTTGGCAAGCCTCGAACAAGGGACATTTTGAAACACCAAAACATTAACTTTCCACTATGCTACTAAGTATTTATGAAAAGTACTTGTAGTTTATATATATATAGTTAGAAAACGCATTTTGGAAAGCGGTTTTGACCAAAAAAATCTAACAAATATATGTATCAATGAGATGCTTAGCTTATTTTAGCATTAGGCTAACACCAAATTTTGCCATCATGAGATCTAGTAGAAACTTTTTAAATATGCAAAATATATTGATAGCCCTAATCAATAAATTTTGTTTTATTTTAAATGTTCCTTGTATAGTATGACCTCTATAAACTATTGTTTTTGCTCATGTTAGTTTCGTATATATGTGTGTTTTCCTTTTAACCTTAATTGTATTTATGTGAACTAAGGAATCTCTTATCAAAAGATATTTATGGTTTTACTTATCCTTAATCCGTAAAGCGAATATTGATAAAATATGTACTATAACCAACCCATAATTGACCGCTTGCCCTCTCAGTACGAACTTATGTTGTCAAAAAGAAATTAACGAGGAGCTCTTTAGTCAGGATTTGGATCCTCTCCACTACAAAAAAGTAGTGGAGAGACTACTATTTTTAATCTCAATCGTTAATTACTTAGTAAACGGTTATGATACAATCTAAATCTAACACTCATCATACACCTGTGTATTGCGCTCATTCCTAATTTGCACTCAAAGAAAAAATCACAACCACCAACTAGATAATCAATGGTTGTGATTATTAATTTGCACTCAAAGAAAAAATCACAACCACCAACTAGATAATCAATGGTTGTGATTATGTAGTGGTCCATCCACTACCTTTTAGATAGTGGAGAAACCACCAACTAGATAATCAATGGTTGTGATTATGTAGTGGTCCATCCACTACCTTTTAGATAGTGGAGAGGATCCAAATCCCTTTAGTCATATTTGGTTATCAAAGGCTTTCTAATTACAGTATGGGATGCATGTTGAATGTGATATATCAGCATCACCATACATAATGCATTCTCAATGTAAATGCCGGTCATAATTTCTTGCAATATACTCATTTTTATTTTATATTCATACTAGTCAAAATAACGCAGAGTGAGGAGAGGAGAGTCTAGATCCGCGCTTGCTTTTACACACACACAAGCTCCAATGTATATTGGGCTCTCTTTTTAAAAAGCCATTTATAAATTTGCTTATGAACAACAAACTGTTAACTCTAATTTAAAAAGAAGAAACTAATAATCTAGTAATTAATTCCTACAAAGCCTTTAAAGCTCCCTAAATCATTTTTAAGTCTACCACCAATAGGGTCCAGTTTGCCCCCACTATGAGATATGGTGTTATTACACGGGTGGTTCTAAAAGGTTGTGCATCCACAAGTGACTGATAACATATGAATGTCGTTTGTTTTTAGCTCGCTTGGAGTTTTTTGTTGAATGTTAGTTAAGATTAAGGCTATAGCAAAACCTACTGTCTAATAGGATTAAATGTTATAACAGCGATATTTTATTCAATAATCTTCGATATAACTCTAACCCTAATCCTAGCTCTAACACTAACCAACATCCAACAAGAACTCCGAATTAGCAAAAAATAACACATTGTGCTAACATACAATCAGATTCCGGATCGCCAGTACAATTATCATCAATGATCTTAGGGACTACTCATGTATATATGCAATCTCCAGGATCATACTCGTAATTACATCATATCTCAAGACATCAAAATATTGTTAATAAAAACCCTACACTTCTTCTCTCAAAAAAAAAAACCTACACTTCAACCCTTAAGTCACTGTTGCTTCTACGAGCACGGATACAATTTAAATGAATAGTTGATGGAGAGTGCCCCACCAAAAAGAAGAAAGTAAGAAAAATATAACTTTAAGATAGACGCGAGTTCTAGGAAATGGTGTTTGCCCAAGTTGACCAAATTATATACAACTTAGCAAGTGGATAGTTTGACGTATATGCAGTTTGAACATGTACTTAGACTGTCGACCTAGTGGCAATTATTCCTTCTGCGTTTGTGCTCCAACGAAACAAGTAACAAGCTTTAAAATATAGAGCTTAGGTCATGCAGTATAAATTATATAGTACGGACATTACTTGGTCTTAGTACAGATCTAGATCTAAGTGTAGATAATTGTATCATGGTTACACTTGAATGTCATTATTTTATGAAAATCCTATATTGTTACAGGAATATCAAATGACATGAATTTATTTGGACAAATTTTCAAAAGAGACTCATTTAGATTTTTATTCCCAAAAACGATCTTATTCAAACAAATTTACAAAAACCGACCTGGTTTTAGCTGAAACCGGTTCGGTTTTTGAAAAAAAAATTCCGAAACTTCACGGGAGTTGAACTCCCGTGAAGTTTAATAGATCTGCTAAACTTCACGGGAGTTCAACTCCCGTGAAGTTTCATAGTTCAAAATTTTTTTTTAAACTATGAAACTTCACGGGAGTTGAACTCCCGTGAAGTTTAGTAGATCTACTAAACTTCATGGGAGTTCAACTCCCGTGAAGTTTCGGAAAAAAAAATTCAAAAACCGACCTGGTTTTAGTGCTGAGGCTGAAACCAGGTCGGTTTTTGTAAATTCAAACAAAAACCAGGTCGGTTTTTGTAAATTTGTTTGAATAAGGTCGTTTTTTGGGATTAAGTTCACAAATGGGTCTCTTTTGAAAATTTGTCCGAATTTATTTTATCCTGATAAAACCTTTTTGTATTCATTAAAAGAGTTATAAGGTCGTTAAACTAAGGGTGGTAATTTTTTAACCCAATACCTTGACTAAACTCGGTCCATTAAATCGCTGGATTTTTTGTGAAATCAGGCTGCATCAATATGAGCTCCTACACCTTACTCAAAAATTTGTGTCTACTTCAGACAAGGATATTCAAACTCACAACTTCAAATAAATGAAAGCGATAATAACATCCGAGTACTTCTACATATTTGGTCATATAAAGAAATAGTAGGAAAATAATCTAATCTTAAATAAATACTTGTAGTCTCATGTATTTCAATAATCTTTGAGATCTACAGATGCCCACTAAAAAAGAACTGATGAAAGTTCAACGAAGATGCAGTTACCATTTTACATTGCTCAGAGAGATGAATCCATCCACAAACCATCACAGAAACAGAATACCACAAAGAACTTCAATAATGAACATTAATTGAAACATATTTATATTTATTTAATTATAATATATTCTGGATTTTTTTTTTACAGATGCAGGTCCATTATCCTCCGCATGGATGCATAAAGTTACAAAGCTGGCATTAACACAGCTTTGCCGATTACAAGATCCTTTTCCAGCATCTTTATGCTCTGATTGAAAGAAAATGGATAGGTTTAGCCTAAGTACATCTTTAAGAACTTCCTCCAGTTCCTTTTGCTGCTATAGAAGTTAATCTTAACCTACAAAAAATCAATCAAAAGACAAAAACATTGAATGGGTTATTAATAATAGAAAACTGAGGGAGGATGACATATTAAAAAAAATATCGAGTTTAATACCTGATGAGTGGCTTCTTTGGAGCATTAGATGTTGGAGCAGGAAGCCCACTGTAAACCGGTGCAGATAACTCTAAAGGCTTTACCAAAAGAAAAAGAAAAGTTTAAACAGTCAGTGAATAAATAAACTAAATTGTCAAGGAAATAATATCATATAAGGTAATAAAATTGGAAGACTAGAAGCAACGCTTAAATGTACATTGACAATATGAATTTGCACATGAGCTGGCAATGTTAAATCCTATAACAATCTCATAATACCTGAAATAGAATTCCTATTCTCATTTATACCATCTTTTTCGATGTTAAAACAATAGAAATCAGATATGTAATAAAGTACATAAAAGAAGGGAAATCATGAACCATGAGATAGTTATTTGTACGTTACCAATAACAGCAACACGAAGGGTTTATACGCATCAATTTTTTGGATTAGCTACATGAATATTTTCTTCTATTCAATTCACTTAGAGTACAGAAAAAAGGGAGACCATGAGACAATTAGTTGTGTGTTAGCAAGAGCTACAACAACAAAAGCTTTATCCCAAATTTTTTGGACTGGCATCGATCCTACTTTGCTATTCAGTTCATAATCATTTGTATGTTGACGAAATGAGTTTTCAACTTCTCAACCAGTGATAATAACTAATACGAAAAATAGAATTTCTCAACCAGCTATAATAATAAGAGGACTAGAAGCAGAGACCTCGAGCTCTTCAATGCCTCCATTCCTAGGATTGCTTGAACCAAAACTTCCCGTTTGCATTATGACATCCTTTGCATCAGACTTATCAGCAGAACAGCCATTTGCAGCAACTCCAACTTCTTCAGGCTTCCCTTGAATTCCACAATCCCCAAGCTCATCAAGCTCTTCAGGCAAAGCCACCACAGTGGGAGATGAAGAACCATTTAAATTCTTAATATCAAGTGCTTCAGCTTCTTTAGCGCACAAAACTACTGCAGATTCCTCAGCATTAGTACCATGAACTATAGTGTTCATAGTTTCTGGTGATTTTGCAAAAGCTGGTCTCTTTACATCAGCTAGGCTTCTAGATGCAGCATCTTCCACATGTTTCCTCTTTTTCGATTCTTCTTCTACATCAACAGATACAACTGAATCGAATTGATTCCTTATGCTAGAAACATCGGCCATATCAACAGACTTGTCACCATTCTCACTAAAAGTTTCCATATGTGAAGGAGAATGAGTCAAACTTGAGGCCTTAGGTTTTGAGACTCTAGGAGGACGAGAGGGCCTCATACCACCAGGAAAAACAAAAAGCGGGACATTTCTTTGTTTTATATGAGAAACATGGATTTCCATCCCAGGTTTCCATAGTATGTAACTGCCGACATTGCTCTTAAAATCTTCGACTGTTGCCCTTATATCAAATTGCTCGCCTTCTTTTGATGGTACCCCTTGCTTTCTCTGAAGACCCATGAAGTAACAACAGTGCAATGGTTTGGATTTTTCTGAAAAATCACGTGGATGAGGATGACATTGAAGCTTCCCAAATGTTTGCCTTTCAATCTGGATTAGAATAAACCGAAGTTAATCAAAACAACGCAATCAATTCTCTTTCCATATTAGGGGAAAAAAGGATTAGTTGCATTGAGGTATCCTAAAGTATAGTGTAATTAGACAGTGCCCAGGAGTCTGTGTATCTACATAGGTAACTGAGATTACTGCTTGTCACTATCCAGGTAAGCTGAGAAGAAAAAAATAAGTAGACACTAGGATCGCCCATGTAATTAACAATCAATAAACCCAAGGCTCCCTGTAGATATGCTGACTCTAGGGTGCCCCGTGTAATTACACCATACCTCAGTGTACCGGAATGTCATTAATCCAGAAAAAGATAGAGAGAATAGAGCTATACATTCAATGTGAGAAAGCGAAGACGTGATTCGACCCAGCCTTTCCAATTTCTGAAATCATCTTCATCTTCTGCAGCAATATCTATCTCCAAATAATTCTTGTAGGCCTCAAAGAAGGGATAGGGCTCAAATAGAGTATTCCAATCAGCTTTATTTGTCTCCATTAACTGCACGAAAATAAAGGCATCAAGGCAGAGCTTTCAAAAACAAGAGCTTGTCAGAAACAAGATATACCATCCAAAAAATAAAAAATAAAAAATCAAACAGCAAAATAAATACCAAAAGGCAAGCATACACAAGTTGAGCTTAACTCAGGTATAACATTTATCCTCTTTGAGGAGGTTGCGAGTTTCAGTTATCCACAAGGAATTATTTTTTCCCCTTTATGGTGATTAAATTTTCCCAATAAAATATAGTGTCTTCTCTCTGAAAAAGGGCACACACATTATTAGTTGTTCGTGCAGGGTATAGTACTTGCCAAAACTTGATGAATTAACAATGATACAAAATGATTCAAGTTCTATTTGTGAAATCTTAAACTCTAGATTAACCCAGCGCCATCACCTACATTTTGGATGCCAAGAAGTATAACAGGGTACACTGACTTTTAATTTTTCCATCAGACTCTTATCACACGTCACATACAAATTCTTAAGGGAAATGCAGATGGAGCGTAATGTGCTCAATATTTTAATGCTACATATAGATTATTCCAAATAAATCTATCAAAAATTCAAAACACAACATTTAGCCTCATTAACAGATATTCTATTAGATATAAATAATGAATATATTGAATATTATGTAATAAGCACCAATGTCAACAAGTAATAGCATTAACAATAAACAATATCTTGAAAGGAATCATGATAATGCTTATAGGCTCAAAAGAAATATTCAATATCTTAAAGCGCATATATTACTAGCACATGCATCATACCTTACAAATATCATTTCCCCGCTGGAACTCATCAGTCATAATACGCAGTGTACTTGCCGAGACATTGTAGCTGGAATTCATAGAAGGATAAGCCGGCGTGATAATAGGCATCAGATGTGTCCGGTCTCTAAAATTTCTTCTCGGGTCCCAAACAGGAAGACCAAGACTTCCCTCTTCAATATCACATAGCATCACTGGATTTGGCCAGCGCCATTGTGTATAAACCCTAAAAAACCGAGATACCAATGTGCTTGGCAAAGCATTAGGATACAACTGACATATCCTCGCTACAAGCAAAGCCCAATTAATTCCACCTAGGAAACCTAAAACCTGATAAGGACAAAACAAAAGTTAGAATTCATTAAAGATTGACACATTATATAGATAGGTTACTTAGATATTGTCCTTTTAATCTTCGCTAATTCAATATTACTCCCTCAAATCTTTAAAATTGCTCGTAACTCCCTCAAATCCTAAGAGGTCTTGCAATTTGGTCCCTCAATCACCAAAATACCCCTCAGTTTCGCCCCCCCCCCCCAGCGGCGGCCAGAAAAAAAAAAGCGGCGCTCGGCTCTTATGTTTAAAAAAATATTACATGAGATGTATTTTGGTCATCAAGGGACGCAAGACCCCTTATGATTTGAGGGAGTATGAGCAACTTTAAAGATTTGAGGGACTAATATAAAATTATTGAAGATTTAGGGACTAATATCTAAATAACCCTATATTGAATAATTTAGTTATTCAAGAAGATGCAGCATTAAGGAATTTATGCATACATTTGAGTAAACACCACGTTTCTTTGCCCAAAGCCTCATGCATCTCAAGGTTGTACGAAAAGTCTGAATATTGGGCACCAGACGCAATATTTGATCGGTGACTCTGCACCCGTTCAAACTACGGACAGTTTGTTCATCAGCATTCTGTAATATGGAGTCCTGTGAGATATCCAAGTCCTGAAGTAAACAAGAAATTAGATACACAGGTCCTAAAATAAAACAATAAATTAGAACACAAACGGTAACATGAAGAAGCATCAACAAGAATGAAAGAAAAAAGCAATCATAAGAATAAAGGCAGTTATGCTATAATAGAGAAGTGCCGTAAATAGATTTTTACGCCTAGAGGTAGCATTCAGTCATAGTGCTATAAAACTCAGATAACATGATCTATTCAGCAGAGTACTGTAGAGAATAATGTGTGCTACGACACGCTAATATGATACTAAAATTAAATTTCAACATCAATTCTACAAGGATCTCAGCTATAAAATTCACTAAATAATGTGATTATCAAATCAAAATACAATTACAGGACCACTTAGATCATCCAACACTGTGTAAATGCTTTATTCTGCAGCTATAGAAAATCTTCCACTTCATAAAAGCTGAACACGATATATGATAATTTAACTAAATAATTCATCACTAAGGACCGTTTACTTTACATTACTGCAGAAGAAAGTAATTCTCAACTGTATAACAGTATAAATCAAGCTTAACCATAATGGTACCATGTACAACATTTGCAGTAAAAAGAGACTCAAGTTTCAAAAAATGATTAAAAAACGAGGATGTGACAGCACCAATAGATCCGGAATTAGAACAAAAACTTACTTCAGGTATCACCCAGAGTGCGAGCTTTGCGTATAGAAGATCGATAGAAACCCCACTAAATTTGAATTTCATCACAGGAACATGTGCATCAGGCACGGGATGGAGTTCACTCACTTCTGGCATCTCAGCCAGCATGTTCTGAAGTTCTACAAAGAAGTCATCCTGCACTCATGTTGAACAAAATCATATAAGCTATTATTGATAACTAATGAGCAAGAAAAAAATACATTTTGAGTTTTCGTATTAGTCATCCTTACCTCTCTAGTTGCATGTCTCGGACCAACACATAATGTATCTATATCAGCACCAGGGCCATGTACCTATATTTAATAGAGAGCAACAAAAAATATCAGGATTCTGCAACTAAGCAAATAACACTCATGTTTCTAAATGTAAAACAATAAATTACAAGATGACGATAGAAAAGGTTTAGACATAATGGTCATTAGAAAAAGTAAAATAACATGATCATAGGAAAGAACTAAGACACAATATTCATTCCAAATGAAAGATAAGCCTTATATCCTGCTTTGCAGAGTAAATTATCCCTGAATAATCCAGTAAATTTTTTAAAGATTCACAGACTATCCATTGGATTCAAAAAGGATTAACAAATGTGAAAACTAATTAACAAGGAAAATGCACTATATCAAGTCAAAATATCCCTAGTGAATATTTAAAATGCATAAAATGCCCAACAAATTCAGAAATGCATTCTCATTTCCATTGTCTTAGTTTTATATTCCTATGTATGAATTTAGGTTGTGTATCTAAAGGTTGGCAGTGTTTATGCATTCCCCCTACTTATTCTTACTGCTAGTACATAGCAAGCAGCAAACGACAAATCTCCAACACATATAAACAACTTACATTGATTAAATCACTCTAATACTCGAGGGTTTGGAAATATCACCATTAGTCACTAAAGATACTCATATTTTAGGATATAAGAATAATGTGATTCCACTTTACATCATTTGCACAAAGTAATTCACGACCCACATATCCGGAAGTAAAAAATTGTATGCCTCTTTACCATATTTATTCTTTGTGAGAGTAAAATCTATCATAGCAAGCAAGTTTTTATTAACTAACCCTAGGATACAAACAATCAAATTATATGCCATATACGCTCCTGATTTATCTAGTTGAAGCATGAAACAATGAAACGCCAATTGTTACAAATAATATTTCAAAATTTTCTAATAAATCTAATGTCATATGTTCCTCCTTGTTGACAACAAATGAAAAACAGGGAACATTTAGCGACTGACTTCCCCCCATCATTTTTACTATTGGTATAAACTTCAAATACCTTTACTTCTTTATGCTCAATCTTCATACAAGTATGAAACAAAAATTCAGAATAGACACTGCTTTAAAGCAAACCTCTATTTCTGACTTCACATAAGAAAGTGTCTACGTAATCCATCTATTACCATCGAAAATCTCAAACCACCGAATAGAATACACTATTGTAGGATTTATGATGACCAGTAATTGCTAAAGAAAACGATTGAAGGGCTCTGAGAACCATATATTACTAAGAACCCTCTCTTTTTCATAGAGTAGCTATTTAGCTGACATATCTCTGAGAACTTATACTCAAAATCTAATATACATGTTTCTTCCATCCATTTTCTTATCAAGGGAAAGATTGGCTTAGATACCTCAATTTACAATGACTTCTGTATTCATCCTTCACTGAAAACATACCAAGATAAAAAAAAAAAGATAGGGCATCACCACTCAAAATCATTTCTGCCGTATTTCCACACTTGTGATTCTAGGCTCTTAGCTATAAGGTCACTTCCATAACAAAATCTACACACTATGCTTAACTTTCATAATTCAATGAAGTATAGAGAATGCAAAGAACAAAACATAATTTCTCTATCAAGCATAACGATTCACAAACCAAACCAATGACCAAATACTCATATGCCTTTTTTCTTTGACAAGATTTACAAAAGAATGGAGCAATTTCTGTACCCCTAGGCGATAAGATCCAAAAGTAAATATCTTCGCATTAGCTTCCTGCACAAATTGTTCGTTGAAACCCTTCTGTCTGCTTATGTTCTTTACCCAATTTTTTACAATCTGCAACAGTTTGCAATAACGCTAATTAACAAAAAATATATATCAAGCATCAATAATATAATTAAACATACTAATTTCAATAGAGTTAACCTGGTCTAATCTCCCAAGGACTTCCTCTCTTGAAACAGCTTCTTCTTGGCTTTCATATAACCCAGCGTCAGCAAGATACTGATGATAACAAGAAACTAATTTACTCGGCATACTCAAAAACAGACAATGCATAAAAATCGGAACTTTAATATAAACATTTGACCTTTTCGAGTTCCTGGGTCTTGATCACATCGAATTCAGTCGGCCCACCAAGCGAGATTGGTTCAGTAACGCCAAGGCGCCCATTAGTTCTCTTAACAAATCCAGGGCTTGCCATCAAATCTTTTTTTTTTCTTTCAAAATTTTATCTCTTTTTTATCTATAGTTGTTTTTTAGCCTGGATATATCAATAATTCTTAAACAAAAAACAATAACCCTCGGAAAAAGACACAAGGGATCTATTAAAAATCGTCAATTACACAGATAATCAGCAAAATAAACAAATTCAAAACTCCCAACAAAATCTTTTTCCCAATCAACAGGGGGAAAAAAGAAGAAAAATAATCCACAGTTACGATGATTATTGCTACTTGATACAACAAAATCGATCAAACAATCTCACAAAATCTCTCCTTTTCTCTCTCCTCTCAACAAAAAGCAGAACTTTTTTTGGTTGATCCGCTTTGAATCTGCGGGTGAGGTCCTCGACGTGAATCGCTCCGCTGCCGATACAATCTTCAACGCGAGCAGAAGCAAAATCCTAGATTTTGAGAAATTATGAGGAATTAATTAGAGATTTAAGGGGAATTAATAGAAAAGTCGGGGATTTTTGGGGCGTTAGAATCGTTACCTTGGTAGGACTAGGTCTCCCTCGAATTATCGTGTTTGCGCTTTCTCTAGAGGATTTTAAGGGAAAGGGGGTGAGATAATGGCCGTTGGATTTTGGGAGGTTAAAGATGGACGGTTGAGAGAGTTTCCGCATTGGTGTATTATTAGGAGCGCAGGTCGGATTTCCCGTGATGCCAGCTCATACTAAGGGATGTTTCGTTGCACACTTTTTGAGAAAATTTTTTTCAAAACATCTGTCAATGGTAAATTTGTAATTAAAAGTTTTTTAAAGATTTCTGTAAATTATGTTTGGTTCAATAAAAAATTTACAGAAATATTTTCTATAAAATATCAAAACCTACCAAATTTTACAAAAAGCAATTTCCTCTCAAAATGAGAGGAAATCACCAGAAATCTGACACATACCATATTTAATTAAAAACCTACCAAATCTTGTTATTTTTTATAAAGTTATGAGCTATTTTCTTGTTTTGAACCAAACAAGCAAAGTACAAAAAAACAAAAAAATTGGTACTTTTTAATTTCTCAAAACTTTTCCTATAATTTTTTTAAGAAATACAAGGAAATCATATTTTAGGTGGAAAACATTTTCTATAATTTCTAGAAATTGAACCAAACACCCCCTAAGAGCATCTCCAACAGCTTCCCCATTTTATTGGTATTCTCACTTTTAGAAAATTTTGGACTTCTTTTTGGTCCAACAGATTCCTCATCTTATTTCCCAAAATAGGAATGGAAAAGGAAAAAAGGGGAGTCTGCCCCAAATCTGGGGCATTCTTCAAATATTTGGGGAAACCTTGGTCATGAATGCCATGAGGACAATTCCAATGCATAAGAGCATCCAAAAATAGGGATGTTGAATATTTTTATTATTATAATAAATACATGATTCTTCAAAATGGGGAAGCTGTTGGAGTTGGAGCAAAAATAATTTGGAGAATATGAGATTCTTCAAAATGGGGAAGCTGTTGGAGTTGGAGCAAAAATAATTTGGAGAATATGACTTTTGCTTCCCCATTTTGTGTTGGAGTTGGAGCAAAAATAATTTGGAGAATATGACTTTTGCTTCCCCATTTTGAAGAAATTTTTGGGAAAACTGTTGGAGATGCTCTAATCTAGTAAATCGGATAAGGGCCTGTTTGGTTATTTCCTAAAAAACCAAGAAATAGAAACGAAAACAAAGAAAACTCAAAAAGTATAATGTCATCTATTTCTATCCATAAAACTCACCCACAACATCTAATAAAATATTATTTTTATCCAACAACTCATCCACCACATCTAATAAAATACTATTTTCATCCAACAACTCATCCACCACAACTAATAAAATATTATTTTCATCCACAACATCACTCAACTCATCTCATCTCATCATTTCAATTCACTCACATCATCCAATAAGATGATGACAACTCATCTCATCTTATTAACATTTCATTTCCACCCATTTCCTCCCAAAAAACTAGGGAAATAATTTCTTTAAGTGTGGGTCACATCATCCAATAATATAATAACAACTCATCTCATCTCGTCTATTTTCTTATTTTTAAGTATGAACCAAACAAAAAAAACAACATATTACAAGAAATATGTTTCTTATAATTCATTTCCTTATTTTTTTCGCCAACCAAACAACATCAAAACAAAATTCATTTCCTTATTTTTTTCGCCAACCAAACAACATCAAAACAAGTTTTCTTAAAAAATCATTCACATCATCCTATAATAAGAAACAAGTTTTCTTAAAAAATCATTCACATCATCCTATAATAAGGTGACAACTCATCTCATCTCATCTCTATTTCTTTGATTTCTTTCTTTTTTTAGCAAACCAAACACTCCCAAAACAATTCTTCTTAGAAATAGTTTTCCATTTCTTTGATTTCCCATTTTTTTAGACAAACAAACAGACCCTAAGTAAAAAAAAGGTTATTTAGATATTAGTCCCTCAAGTATTATTAGTCTCAAAACTCATTAAAATTGCACACACATCCCTCAAAAATGTATAAGGGTCTAGCAAATTAGTCTCTTAAGTTAACTAATGTTAGGTCCGAAGAGAATGTTTCTTTAAATCTAACATTCTTAGAGGAGCTTCCACTTATATACCTCGATCAAGATTAACCAACTCTTTTGTTAATGGGTTCATATCCAAAATCTGCTAACTAAAAACACAAAACCAACAAATATCATATTCTTTAAAAAATAAGCCTTTAACAATTCAACGCCCCGCCCCCCAAAAAAAAAAAACAGGGATCGTTCCGAGTTTGTAAGCTTTCCTAATATTTTGAAGGTATTCTGATAATTGAGAGTGTTGGCTTAAGAGTTAACCTAGTCGTGGCTTTATTATTGAAAAAGTAATAGATGGACCAATTCATGACACCCTTGAGAATTAAAGTTGTGATGTGGAATTGATGAAGACGGGGGACTAATGTCCAATGTTTGGAGTAAGTCCAAATTCAAGGGAGTTTTATGAGCCCCCTCAAGTTTATGGTGGGGCACAGTCGAGTAGCTAATGTTAGATAAACAATTTTTAGAAAAGCTGTATAAGAAGAACCTCAAACTTTGGGCAATTTTTTTAATTAGTTATT